CTGAATTTGTTGGACATTACCGCTCACTCCATATGCCTTCACTCCGAAATGTTTGTCATTACTATAGCTAACGTTATATCCACTCTCACATAAGTGCACACATTTCGGGGTTGGCTTTCAATTCATTCAATATTTTAATTAATGTTGTATTTGTTGAGGGAATTAATAATATAATAAATACCACAATATCTCCGCAGGGCTTTAATTGGCCGGTTGTGTGGTGTTCACAGGCGGCCACAACGTATGGTTGACATCCCTTATGGCTACTATAGAGTCCTCCGGACACTAAACCTGTTCTAACCCAGTAGTTCCAGGCGGCGCCAGGAAAACCACCACTGCATCCAAATCCACACGAACTACAACAAGACACCAAATCTTCAGCCGACACTTCCACCACTTGTTTGCCATTAGAAGCGATGCATATTCTGTCGGACATGGCTTCCACCGCACCGAAAGCCCAACACGACCCTAATTGCAATCAAAATGACATCAAAATGTATTAATTATAGCATTTTAAGTGCTATTTATACCACAAGATCCCTGATCTCTGATTTCACTAATAGACGGACAGTGAGGCCATTGAGTCCTCGAGTCAAACGCGTCGGGAATTTCCAAATCCTGGATGTCGTGAGTAATTATAGGCAAACGGTATCTGTGGTTGTCTTTGTGGACACCCATTAAACCTTTGATATACTCCATAGAATAGCCTTCAAAGTTACTTTGGGCCTAATTTATAATTATAGCAATTACTGCCAACCCTTACCACGTAATTGTATTAAATAAAGCATACTTTCCACGTTGTGTTCAAATGGTTAATATAGTCAACCATTTTAAAGGACACGGCGTCCACATTGAGAGGAATGTAGTGCCGATCCGTTCCTTCAATGAGTCCAACCAAACAAACCGACAATAGAGTCGTTAAACACAATAATTTCATTTTTAATGAAGTTCTAGTTTAAAAGCAATAATATATTAATGCAATTGTATTATAAATAATAATTAAAAATCTTACTTCTTATAGTTAAA